TTCAAGGTGGGCATCAACTACCAGCCGCCCACGGTGGTGCCGGGGGGGGACCTGGCCAAGGTGCAGCGCGCCGTCTGCATGCTGAGCAACACCACGGCCATCGCCGAGGCCTGGGCTCGCCTGGACCACAAGTTCGACCTGATGTACGCCAAGCGAGCCTTCGTACACTGGTATGTGGGCGAGGGCATGGAGGAAGGGGAGTTTTCCGAGGCGCGGGAAGACATGGCCGCTCTGGAGAAGGACTACGAGGAGGTGGGCCTGGACTCCTACGAGGACGAAGAGGAGGGTGAGGAGTAGAGAAGCCCCTGCCAGAAAGGACCGTGCTCCTTCTCCATGTTACCTGCAGAAACCCTTTGCAATAAACCATTTCAGAGCTTCCGTGTCTCCCACTGCACCCCCAGCCTTCTCGGTTTCTTGCCAGGTCAGGTGTGTGGTGAGTGCTTCAGCTCTGCTGCTGGTGCTGCTATGCTTCCTCCCAGCGCTCCGCTCCAGCTCCGGCTTGGCCCCCACATAGGTAAGGGCCCTGTTGCAGCAGACTGTGGCCAGGAGGCGTAGCATGCTCTGGGGACATGCCCAAAGATGTCCATTAAAAGGATCCAGGAGAATCCTGATGACGTGGTGGGAGAAGCACCTAGCTCAGGCATGGGTCCTCTGTCTGGGAGCGCCTCTGCCCGCTCACTGCCTGGCCCTGCCAGTGCTCTGCCATCGCCCTGGGGCACGTGGCCCCATGCTGCTTTCCCCAGTTCATCTGCTGCATTGGCCCCATGCTGAGCCCTCTCCCTGCCCTGCCTGGTGGTCAGGAGTCTGAACGTGAGCTCCTGGCTCCATCTGCAAATGGGGGATTTCAGTTACCCATTATCCAGCATGCTGGTTCCAGAGATTAATTTTCCCTACTTACCACTAATGCTACAGCTATATTGACCCACAGGGGCTGTCCTCTCCTGTCCTCCTCCTCCCAGCATGCACCCGTGTCAGCTGGAGGGGAAAGTGTGAGCCAGCACCGGGCTGTACCGATTCCTGGAGCGTGGCCAGGCGCTCGTCCCACTGCGCAGGGCTCCTGGCGCCGATTCCTGCGCCCATGACCAGAGCACCGGGCTCAGACTGAGCAGTGCCCGCTGCTGCACCAGGGCAGGAGTCGCTGCCCCTCGTGCTGGGCACTGCTCTGATCCCACCGGAGTGTTACCTGCACCCTGTGTCTTCAGAAAGACCTGAGGCTGCTGCCAGAAGCACGTAGGAATTGGAATTGTGTCCTGTTCCTTTTTTCTTAAAGATCATCCTGCATCTCTGATCTGGACCCTAACATATACTTACAAATATCTGAAGGGTGGGTGTCAGGAGGATGGGGCCAAGCTCTTTTCAGTGGTGCGCAGCGACAGGACAAGGGGCAATGGGCACAAACTGAAGCAGTGGAAGTTCCGTCTGAACATGAGGAGGAACTTCTTCCCTCTGAGGGTGATAGAGCCCTGGAACAGGCTGCCCAGGGAGGTGGTGGAATCTCCTTCTCTGGAGATATTCAAGACCCGCCTGGACAAGGTCCTCTACAGCCTACCGTAGGTGGCCCTTCTTCGGCAGGGGGGTTGGACTAGATGACCCACAGAGGTCCCTTCCAACCCCTACCATTCTGTGATTCTGTGATCCCACTGCAGGGGGGACACAGCAGTGCCTCCTGGCATGCTCCTGGGCGGCAGACCCCCGTCCCCACGGGCAGGGATAGCTGTGTGAGCCCCTGCCCTGGCAGCGAGGACGGGGCCCTCTCCCTGCCGCACACAGCATGTGGGGCTGGGGCGCTGGGCTCTGCTTTTCTCCCCGCCAACAGCCAGGCTGGTGGTCCACGTGTCCTCCAGGGCAGGACCAGCCTGGCCCCAGCAGGGAAGGCTGTGCTAGCTGGGGGTCAAATGGAGCTGCTCCTCTGAGTGTGGTCACTAGCCCTTAATGGCAAAGGGGCTCCAATGACCCTTTTCTTGGCAGCTGGGACATCCCCCCCGCCAACAGCCAGGCTGGTGGTCCACGTGTCCTCGACGGCAGGACCAGCCTGGCCCCAGCAGGGAAGGCTGTGCTAGCTGGGGGTCAAATGGAGCTGCTCCTCTGAGTGTGGTCACTAGCCCTTAATGGCAAAGGGGCTCCAATGACCCTTTTCTTGGCAGCTGGGCTAGCCCCCCAGCCCAGGCTGGTCATGCCCGTCTGCAGTCTGGTGGAGCTGCGGCCCTGCCGGCCTGTCCCA